CTTTTCCTCAAATCCCTTAGCCCATGTGAAGATGTATCCCCTCTTCCAGGACAATCCTTTGCAATCATGTTCCAGCAAAGGCTACACCTCCCTCTGAGTGGAAAGCTGCCTCTCCTCCTGGCCTTGGTCTCATAACCTTTTGTCCTTTCTTTCTCTCTTGCCAACACTCAAGCTGAGAAAGTAGTGTTTCTCCCCCAACACTTCTCTACTGGATGAATTTATGAAAAGAAGTTTTGTCTTTAAACTACTTTGGAAATCATAAAGTTTAATGCGTAAACTGTAATGTAGTAGAATGAGGATTAGACACTGAGTCAAGAGACGAGGAGTCAACATATATGTGATATTGGGCAAATCATTTTATTTCTCTTGACCTTGGCTCCTTTTCTGTAACATGAAAAGTTAAAGTCTAAGAAGCAGTGTATTAACATTCAATACTACTCAGCACCTATTATTACAGCATTCCGAACAGGGACTGTAGCTGTCAATGTGTAACCAGTAATTCTTCCCAACCTCTATAGAATGATGTGATGCAAAGCATATGGACTTTCAAGTAAGACTTTTGTTCAACCATTATTAGTACTAGAACCTAACAAAAAATCCAAACCCTGAGTAGATCCTTTTGTTCCAAATTGAATGTTCTGCTCTATAAAAATATAGTAGAAGGCCCTCCCTGGTGGTGCAATGGCTTAGGACGCAGCACTACAAGTGAGCCACAGCTGCTTCAGTGCAAGTTTCATCCTCTGCCCCGGAGGTTATCCACATGGTGTGGCAGACCTCTCCAGATCTACCTGCTGCTCCCCTCAGCAGTGTATTTCATTGATCTGCCTGTTCTGCTCCCCACTCTGTCTCTGGTGAAGACTCTCACTGCCCCAGCACCTCTGACTTATACCCAAGTTCTCTATGCATAAATAAATCTTTAAAAAAAAGATTCAATTAAAAAAAATATATATATATAGTAGACATTGGGCCCTCCCGGTGGCACAATGGGTTAAAGCATAGCATTATGAAACTATCACAGCCACTGCAGCACAAGTTCCATCCCCTAATCCACATGGCGTGGCAGACTTCTCCTAACCAGCCCGCTGCTCCCCTCAACAGTGTATTTCAGTACATCTGTCTGTTCTGCTCCCCACTTTGTCTCTGATGAATCCTCTCACCCCCGCACCTCTGGCCTGTACACCAGTTCTATATGTATAAATAAATAAATCTTTAAAAAAAATACAGTAATCAAAAAAGATAAACTCGTGCTTTCTGCAGCAACATGGATGGACCCGGAAGGGATCATGCTTAGAGAAATAACCCAGAAAGAGAAAGAAAAATACCAGATGGTTTCACTCATAGCAGGAGCATAAGGGATCAGGGTAGAAAAGAAAAAAAAAGAGACTAACAAATGTAATAGAGTAAAAATGAAAACAATCAACAACTATAAACCAGAGACATGTTACGGGGGTGAGAAGGGGCATGGCATTGGGCCTGGAGTGGGAAGAGTGCACTGGAATGTGGTGATGGCACACCGGTGAATTGGTGATGGGAGGACCATGGGGACTACAACTGAGATGAAAAAAGGCACAAAATGAAGAATGATGTAAAATTAAAAAAAAAGCTTACACAGTCCCCCTCAAAATATACAGTAGACATTACCTATCTCATTGTTATGAGGATTGAATCAGAGAATGTATACTGCTGACACATAATAGCTGTTCTCAGTGAGGAGCTTTAAATCCAGTAGTGACCTTCAGGATTCATCTTACTCAATAGTATCTTATCAGCAGCATATAACACTGCTGATGACGCTGTCCTTGAAACACTTATACTTTTACATCACTTCCTTGTACTTCTACAACTTCTCATTAATTTCTTTTGCTGGATCCGCTTCATCATCCTCATCCCTAAATAAGGGCATACATCAGGCTACCGCCCTCACTCATTTAGTCTCATGGTTTTAAACTAATTACCCTCAAATTTATATCTCCAACAAAGACGATTCTTCTGAAATCCAGATTTATATGTACAGCTGCCCACTTGTTATCTTAATTTGGTTGACAAATAGGTATATTAATACATCACATTTTCTTAAACTTTTCATGTTCCCATCATTCTTTTGTTGGTAAATGGCAAGCTTTGTTTTTCATTTGGTTAGACCAAAAACTTGGAATTATTTTCATCTGTCCCACACCAATCTATTAATAAACTCTCTTAACTTGATGTTCATATGTATCTTGAATGACTACATGTTACTTCTAGCTTTGCTGTTATCTTAGCTCAAGCAACTGTCTCTTTCCATCTAGGCCATTATACTAATCTCCTAACAAATTTTTCTGCCTGTGTTTTGCTCCCTCTCCTCACAGAAGGCAGGAAGATCCATTTACAGCATAAGCATAACATCATGTCACTTCTAAGATTGAATTTCCCTGGAAGTGGACTGAGATAGTGGTTAGCAAGCAGGACTTTTAAAAATAATGCCTTTGGAACCAACATTTATATAAGGACTGGGCAATTGGAGAAATGTCAAGCGATTGTGCAGGTCCCATTGCAAATTTTTTTATTATTTTTTTTTATTTTACAAAAGTTTATTTTTACATCATTTTGTACATTTTTTTCCATCTCAATTGTAATCCCCATGGGTTTCCCATCACCAAGTCACCCGTGTGTCATCACCATAATCTTGTGCACTTCCCTCACCCCACCTCCCCCGTTTTTGATCCCATTCCCCACTCCACCCCCACAACGCATTGTAAATTTAGCCAACCACAAGATAGAACTAGAATGGGGGCCCTCCCTGGTGGTGAAACGGGTTAAAGCACAGCACTAAGAAACTAAAGCCACGTTGGCATGAATTCTATCCCCGCCCCGAGGTGACCCACATGGAGCAGAAGACCTCTCTTGACCCACCTGCTGCTCAGCAGTGTATTTTGTTGATCTGCCTGTTCTGCCCCCAACTCTGTTTCTGGTGAATCCTCTCACTACCCTTACACCTCTGGCCTGTACCTCAGTTCTGTATGCATAAATAAATAAATATTTAAAAAAAAGAACTAGGATGGTTTTTCAGAGTTGTGTCAGATGGGCTAAGATGGCCAGATCTTTATATGTCTCCTTTAATAATCAGTCATGGGTATGGTCTGTCTGTCCTGTGTAGGCTCCACTTCAGAGAGGCAGCCCTCTGCAACTGAGGTAACTCTTAAGGGATTGTTATAAGCCAACTAATAGCATTCCCAGACAATAAGCTGCGCAACAAGGGACATACCACTCCTCTACCCAGTTACATTCAGTGACTTCCTACCTCACTCAGAATAAAAACAAACTCTGCTATTTTCCTCTGACCTCTTCAACTACTGTTGCCTTCACTCACCTTCTAATGGCACATTTATGACCTGGAAACTTCTTGAACCTCCTCATCTATCTCCCACCTTTATACTCCTTTCTCAGCACTTGTTTATTATGTCTGCAAATTTCGTCCTTTAGATATCTTTAGGGCTGGTTCAAGATTCTGTTCAAATTTCACTTTGTAAGAGGGGGTCCTCACTCACCAGTGGATAGTAAATAGCATACTGCCCTTTATATTTTTCCTTCAGTTCACTTCATTTTTCTTTTTAGCACTTTTAATTATGACCTAACATGCTTGTTTATTTATTGTCTGCCCATCTACTTTCTTCACTCGGGTGTGAAAAATAAGAGATTTTGTTTTCATTTATTGCTACATTCCAGTGACTATAACAATGCCTGGCACATAGTAGATTTTCAAAAAATATTTATTAACTATCATTATCTTTGGGGAAGGGCACTGCACTGAAACAAATCTTGAAACAAATCTAGGTTTTATTTATGATTACAAATTTATGAGCTATGAAATGTAGGCTGTTATTTGCCCTCTCTCTGAGTTTCCTCAGTTGTAATATGTAAATGATTATAAAACTATATACATAATAGGCTTTTGGTAAGATCAGATGGGATAATGTGTGTAAAGCATCATTAAGCATATGATGGATAACACTGATATTCTAGAAATTGCATAAAAGGACAATAGTTAGCAATAGTAAGTGCTCAGTAGTTGTGTTTAAATTTGAGTACTTTGTTGATAGTTCAAGCTGATATCTCATTCTTTTCAACAGAAATTTGGTTTATTTTAATTTTATTTCAGAAAGATACAATGAAAAATTTTAAATAGGTAGTATTGGAGAATTCTTCAGTAAGTACAGTGCCTTCACTTTTTTTACACATGGTGTATAAGTCCATGAGAAATTACATTTCGGTAGGGGAAAGGAAAATTCCCAAAGGAATCATGTAATTCGCTTTGCAAAACAAATCATCCGTTTTTAATCAGAATCATCTCTCAACGACTGATCTGCTTTGTATACTTGAATGTTTACATATTCCATTTTCTGATACTGTCTAGAGTGTATATTTACTGCATAAAGTCTTCTTGAGCAGTTTTACTGATGTTAAACATGTAGGAGGGAAGAAAATGCATGTTTTAAACTCATGTCGAACGGCATACTAGCAATACAAAAGAAAAAAAGCTTTCTGCCTGTTTGGTTTTTTTTTTTTTTTAACCTAGTAAACATTTCTTTTGGCATACCAGCAAGCGAGAAGTTACATGAAAATCCGCTTTAGATCCTCCGGAATAGTCCATAAACAGTCAGGCAGGAAGGTTCGCACACGGATTCCGCCGTCAAACTAAAGTAGGACTGACTCCCCCTTAATCTCCAGCCCCCAGCCCCAGGTCAGTTCAGATCGTTCGCGGTTTCTATTACGGGGTCACCGATCAATCACACCCAGAAAGCATCAGTCCTTTTTCCAACCATGTGTTATAGTTTGCCATTATGGTAATAAAGTCAACTCTAAACAGCAACCACAAGAAAACCCTCTGGCGCACCCTTTTAGTGTGGGAAAATAACACCGATTTTCGGCTGACCGGAAGGAAGAACAGCATCCAATCGGAGCTGGTTTCTCAAAGGCCAATCAAAGCTCTCCTTACATCCTTTCCCCATTACTGGCGAAAGTGTAGCTGCTCCACTCGGTCTCCGGCCTGTGGCTGCTCCAGGCACCTGGCGGGAGTGTGTCTCTGGCGCTGTATTTGCTCCCAGGTAGAAGCGAGCCGTTCGGCCCTTCTCTGTGGCTGGATTTGCTTGTATTTGTTCCTAGTCACTTCTCATGTAATGCACTCCCTTAGTCAGGAAATTAAAGCGTTCTCCCGGAATAACCTCAGGAAGCAATGTACCAGGGTGACAACGCTAACTGGAAAGAAAATTGTAGAAACCTGGAAAGATGCCAGAATTCATGTTGTGGAAGAAGTAGAGCCGAGCGGTGGGGGTGGCTGTGGTTATGTGCAGGACCTTAGTTTGGACTTACAAGTTGGCGTTATTAAGCCATGGTTGCTCCTGGGTGAGTATATCCATTTGCCCCTAAGTCATCCAGTCCTTTAACCGTTTTTGCTTTCTCATCACCCCCTTCTTCACCCTCTCCCACCGTGTAATAATCTGTGCTATTAGCTCTTCTACCAGAAAGTTGAAATGTTTCCTGTTTTAGATATGGACCGTCCACTGGCTAGCTGGAGAGGTGTGTGCTCCACTCGGTCTGTAAGAAACAGATTCTGGTGGAACATAGCATCTGGTATTTGAATGTTAGCCAGGTATTCTTGTTTTTCAGACTTCTCTGGCATGAAAGTGTTTACTTGGATTGTAAAGGTAAAGAAAAGATCATCAAATGAAAACGAATGTTATTAGTGAAAACTACAAATGACAAGGCTTAAAATATTTAAAACTTAGAGGGAGTCTGAGGATGGGGAGCCCAGTGGACTCTAGTAGAGGATTATGGGTGCTTTGGTGGTGGCTGTGGTGTGGTAATGTCCCTCTGAAGAGGTGTGAACCTATGCTTCCTAATCTTATACAGTATTGTAAAACAGTTTCCTCAATAAGAACTAATTTTGATAATGAAACTAGAGAAATTATATTAAAAAAGTTAATACTAGAGATACTCAGGTGCTTGTTGGTCTGCTCTGGAGTTATAAGCCACACCAATGCAAGCCTGCTGTGGCTACATCTGTCCTTGGTGTGTTTTTGGAATGTTTAATAAGTGGACTTTTCTTTGGTAGGTATGGCCAGACAGTTCTTTGATTTCTTATATTATCAAACTATTGATTTCCCTATACAAAGCATAACCCACAAGTAACGAAAGAAGCAAGGTTATAAAAGTGCACACTTGTTATCATGATAAGAATATGTTATGGTGTCCTTTAAAGATAGTCTAAACCTATCCACTGAAAACATTCACAGTGTTGTAAATCAGCATTACTTCAATAAACATAATTTTTAAAAACAGCAATGTTTTCAAGTATAGATTATTTTTTTTCATTTGTGAATAGAGATTATTTGTCAATATTTATGCAGCCAAGCTAATATTAAGTAAAAAAAAAAAAAAAACGAAAACGGGCAAACTGGTAATTAGAAGTAGTTAGGTGCTATAGGCAGTGCATACTTTTTTTTAAGAACATCTGGAGATGGAGATTGTTCAGGGAGTTGCCTTAACATCCTTAAAACAAAGCTCCTAACCAGTGCTACATTATATAGTAGGGATTGTCAGTGCCATTTAACAGATTAAGAACTGGATTTAAAACGCATAAGTAACTTGCAAAGGTAGCACATTTGTAAGTAAGTAACTGCTGTTACTTTGTAAATGTATGACTAAGTGGAAGTTAGCTCAAATAAGAGGTGGGTTTCAAGCTGCCCTGGGGAGTCCAGGAATTGAGCCCTGTTCTGTCTAATTTACTAGATGAATTAGTGCAAGTCATTTGTCCTGTAAGACTGAAGGAACAGTATCTTGGTTTCTCATAGGGTTGTCCTGTGGTGTTTATGAAAAATGGCAAAGCAGGTCAATTGCAGTATACATATGAGTAGTTACTGTATTATCTATGAATTTCATTAAATTCTGTCTTTAAATTAACAAATATCTCCACCTAGTTTCTGCAGCCCAGTGAAAAATCAAGTGTGTCATTTAGCTTGCCTGGAAGATTCATCCAGGACATGTGCACCATATGTAGGAGAGAAATTATGTTTGAGCACATTTAAAAATTTTTTGGTTTCTATTGTAGTAATGGTTTGAAATAATTAAGGCAGAATTTTTTTTTTTT